CTCCTTATTCGTTCAATGCCCACCTATTTCTTTAAAATGAGCGAGATTTCAAAACCTAAAGTAATCTGATTTCTTCTCTTCTTACTTAGAATAACGAGTCGGCACCGTTATCAGCGCAAGATACACGGGATCATTTCTTTGATGAGGTAAGCATTCATGATCATAAAATTATTTTTCTTTCACGGAATTAAGTTTGCACTATTAATTGTTCAGTCACTTATGTGTTTATTTCTGTTATTCATTTTCAGTGGACTGGCGAAACCAGTGAATTACCAACTTGGAACCCGTCGGAAACCGTAAGTCATTTTTCATGTTCACTTGTTTAGAATACGCTGAGTGCAAACGTTCCTATTAAAGTTTTTGAAATGTATACCTTTTAAAAACTAAATTGTTTAGGCTCACCAAAAAAGACAATATCATTCATTCCATCGTTTATAAGAGTAGGAAGAATATAAAAGTTGGCTTATTATTTATGACTTTGAAGGAGTAAATAGTTTATTCTTGATCGATTCCCCTTTCCGCTGATCACATAAGTGAATTCGTTTTTTGCGGATGATTGCACCCATATTGAAATCTATTCTATTCTTTTGTTGAAAATAAAAACAAAGCATTTGCTCAATGTAGTAATATTCAATCATCAAGCTGAGTTGAAGAAAATAGACAGCGTATTATATACTAAAACAAGTATCACAGCAACTTAAGCTATTTCCACTAAGCAGTTGATTATAGCAATATAGCAGAGTTATAATAGTACCCACGCGCTTATCACTGAAAGTCAATTATGTCGTGGATTGACACATAAAATTAAATTTATTCTGTTGATTCAACATCAAAAACAAACCATCTACCCAGTTGTTGAGACGCTCATTGTAGACAAATAGAGTTTATCGGGGTTTCTTGTTAGTTGAGCTTTACACTAAGACTAGGTCATATTTACTAATTATAGGAAATTCAATCCGGGGATGGTCACCCTCCACCAGCCAAAAAGCCTCGTAAAGAGCATCGTTGTGACACCTGCGGCAAGATCTTCTCTCGCCCAAATCGTCTAAATACTCACCAGCGAATCCATACTGGGGAGAAACCGTACGAATGCACCCGTTGCGACAAAAGCTTCACCCAAAAATCGCATCTCAATCGTCACCTGAAAGCGCACGACAAACAAGCTGCCGAACGGACGTTTACTTGCGCAACCTGTGGCGAAACCTTTCATAACTGTGCCCCTTACAACGCTCATATTCGCACCGCTCATCAACAACCCGCCGCTGCCACTAACAGGAAACGATCCGCCGCTAAAAACACAGACGCACCTGCTGCCAAAAAACACAAGAAGTCCGCTGATCCTGGTACTTCACCAACTACACCGCAAACCTCAGCGCCCGGGTCTAGCTGGCAAGAAGATCCTGTTCTCATTCCTTCTAACCTTATTCCTGCCGCGGAGGAAAATATCACCGACACGTACCGTCAACACTGGCCCCAGATCCGTACCCGATTTAGTCACCGTAACCGTTTACAAGACTGGTACAATTTCCGCCTGTCCACGATCAGTCCCACCGCTCTCCGCGAACAACTGAACCGCATTTTTGCTGATCAGCCTACTGTGTTTAAAGTGAACTTTTCCATTGGTTTTATTCTCCGTAATACAAAGACTGGGGCCCTCCAGTATCATCATCCATCCGCGAACAACCATTTGGTGTTAGAACAACCGTTCCTGATTTCAAGTCCAGAAGATTTAGAGCGCCTATATCAGCAGATAGCGGAGATCGATTTCCTGGAGTGGGTGCGGCAACAAAGACCAAACTCAAAATGGGTGGTGGATCTGGTCACTAATGTGACGTGGTTTGTATCGAAGATCAGGGATCACCCGATCGGACGTGGAAAACATCTCCCCGGGTACGTCGTCGACAACCGTGGAATAGAACCCCTGGAAAATAATGTGAAAACCGGTAAACCCTACGAAGATAATCTCTGTTTCTTCCGCTGCCTATCACTTTACAATGGTTGCCATACGAGGAATTTGAGAGAGAGATACCCAGTACTATTACCAACAGTATCGAGACGCTGGCCTATCCAAAAAGAAGTTCCATGGGGTCAAGTTGTCCGAACTAGACGACCTAGAAAAATTGTATGAAGTGAATATCCAAGTATACAGTCTCGCGCCTACTCAGAGCCACAGTGAAGACGAAGACAATGAAGAAAATACTCCCGAGATTGCCGCTACACTCCTCCGCCGCTCACATCGCCACTACTCCAGCACGCTTTACTTGAACTTGTACGAAAACCATTTCTCGTATATTAAAGATCTCGCCCGGTACAGTAAATCCTTCTGCTGTTCAAGATGTGGCAAGTACTGGAAACGCGCAAGTAATTTAAGGCAACATGAGAAAACCTGTGACGGCAAAGTCCAGCTGAAGTACCCTGGCGGAGCATATCAAGTCCCTAAAACAGTGTTTGAGCAACTAGAAGACGAAGGTATTGTCGTACCAGAAGAATGGCGGTACTTCCCTTAGCGCGCCACCTACGATTTTGAATGTTACTTTGATAAAGAGAAAGCTCACGAATTAAAGAACACTGAAAAGTTAACTTGGCAATCTACCCATGTACCCTTAAGTGTGAGTGTATGCAGTAACGTGCCTGGCTACCAAGCACCCAAATGTTTCGTGTCTAACGGCGACCCAAACGAGTTTATTTCACAATTTATCAAGCACCTCACCAGGATTAGCACCAAAAGTTCATCCCTACTCCGCCAAAGGTACGCAGAAGTATTTGAAGCTCTTGAAACCGCAAGAGGCCCGAATAACAGTCAACCTCACGAAGACCGATTAGCGCAAATACTCGTAGACATCCATGAAGGAAATGTAGAGTCTGGCGGAGATGAAAATAGTGAAGTAGAGAGCGAAGATCAAAGTAGCGACATTGATTTAATGGCGAGTGACAATGAAGAGGATGAAGAAGAAATTGAACCGGAGAATGAAGAAGACCGCGCTTTTCTCGATGATGAAATACAAGAACAGGAAGACGTCTCCTTTTATAGAACATTGAACGTTGAAGTGGACAGAGAAACAAGACAGCAACTGAGACAGACGCGGGAGCAGTTAGAAGAGTTACAAGATATTGTAGGTGGTTCAGAGGACGTCAGTGACCACAAAGTCCTCAGTCAACTAGAGGAGAAACTGAACGCCTATATACAAGAACTGCCAGTGTTGGGTTTCAATTCCGGAAAGTACGACCTGAATGCCTCCAAAGAATTCCTGTTCCCGTACCTCATCAAGCATCAGCCCGTCAAGTTTGCTGTGAAAAGGAATAATAATCATATGCGTATCAACAGTCCGGAATATCCCTAAATTTAAGGACAGGGCCAACTGGTCACGCGACACTTTTCAACCAATGAGAAGGCGCGCTTGAACAACAAACAAATCAAAACATCGCCGCAGTGATCAAATATTTTCAAAACAGTGGACGGAGTAGGACAGAATCAGTCATCGTTTCGAGGCTCTCAGGCATATTTTTAAGACTTTTTTTAAGTGGACAGCGTATCGGAAGCCATGTTGGAAGTGTCTCGGGAAATATTCAGCACATTTTGTGGCGTATTTCTTCTTTTAAACAACGCAATGTATGGGCGAGATTTTGGTCGGTTATCAAGGTAGGTGAACAAGTATCTATTATTTTTTCGATTCACAGATTTTTTTTCGAATTCTAGATATTTTTCCTCGATTGTCATATCGATTAACTTTTATCATGTTGAATGTGGGGATGGTAGAGAGCCTAGAATTTTGGTAGACCAGTTTTGAATGCCGGGGTTTAAAACACGTACGTTTTCCATTCCCGGATTTCTCACAGAGCTGTGTTATTACTTTTTTTTCACTTTAGTAGGAGCCTTTGCCTATTTTCTTTTCAAGGCCAAACCAACTTTATTAGTCTCATGGATATTCACGTTCAACATCTCGCCTCACTTTGACGAATTTGTGGGGATGAAATTGAAGATCATAAGCGCAAGGTAGATACTAACCGCTTTGTTTCTGAAATTCACCAAATCTGGAAAGATTTAATGTCGCTGGATTCTCCAAATGTTCATCCACCTTTAAAAAACAATCAAAAAAGAAGGCAAATTTCAAGTGTAAATGATGTATTTCGCTACTCATTGAACATGCAGTAAATCTGGGATAAAATTAAAACATTGCAGGTACTACAGCAAGCAAGGAAAGCACCAGATGCGTGAAGTCAACATGAAACAACACCAAAAAACAAACAAGAAAAATCAATAAATTTGAACTACTTTTTATTCTTGTTATGATGACTAGTTCTTTGATTCTTGTCCTGTAGAAGCTAATAGGTGGTACCAATCCTGTTTTGTATGATCTCAACAAATTTTCACGCTCTCTCTAAGGCTATTTTTACACGGGACCAGTTTGCTTCTATCAAAAATCTTGCAAGCCATGCCAGTGAAGCCACGACCTCTACGCTCAGTCCGGAATCAGCTCGAACACCCCAATGATTCCTTGCAATGAATAATGCTCTTATTCTCTTACATGAAATGTTTTCTTTGAAATATTAAATGTGAAACCTAGACGAGTACTGTAAGCTCATCTTTAATTCTGTTCGTCGACTCCGTCCGTTGTTTTGAAAATTTTTGAGCACTGGGGTGATGTTTTGATTTGTTTGTTGATAAACACAAGCGCGCCTTCTCATTGGTTGAAAAGTGTCGCGTGACCAGCTGGCCCTGTCCTTAAATTTAGGGATATTCCGGACTGATCAAGACAGACTCTTCAAAGTTTCTGGACATCTCTAATTATCTCGCTCCAGGGTTCAGCTACGATCAGTTCCTGAAAGCGTACGAGTGCGAACAGACCAAGGGATTCTTCCCATACCAGTGGCTAGGCTGTTTGGATAAATTACAAGAAACATCGCTGCCCCCTCACGCTGCCTTCTACTCAAGTCTGAAGAACGCTAACATCACGGGTGAAGAGTACTGATACTGCCAGCAAGTATGGGAAGACAATGAAATGTCCACCTTTAAAGATTTCTTGGTTTGGTACAATAATCTGGATGTAGTACCTTTCCTCGAGGCAGTAGAGAAAATGAGTCAATTCTGGCAAGAGAGAAAGATTGATATGTTTAAAGATGGGATTTCTGTGCCTGGTCTCACCCTCAAGTACCTCTTCTCATACCTCTCACCTCAAACGTACTTCAGTCTCTTCGATCAAGCGAACAGTGACCTGTATCACTTGATCAAAGACAACAACACCGGAGGCTCCTCAATCATCTCCCATCGTTACCACGAAGCCGATAAAACGCAACTCAGGGAAGCTGAAGAAGGCGAGGCTGCTAAGCTGTGCCAGAAGATCGTGGGTTATGACGCGAATGCTTTGTACCTCTTGGCTATTATGCAGAACATGCCAACGGGAAGTTACACGCGACGCCTAGCAGAGAATGAGCTCAAACCTAAAAGCTCTATCAAGATGGCGATTGAGTGGTTAGAATGGGTGGCGCACCAAGACAGAATACATATTCGTCATCAGCTGAACAATACAGAGAAGCGCATTGGGGATCGTAAACTTCCCGTCGACGGTTTCAATGTTGAGTCACAAACTGTGTACCGGTTTCAGGGGTGTTATCGGCACGGCCATGACTGCGCTCTCAATCGCGGAAAAGAAGTTAACGAGAAACGAAACAAACCTATGACAGAACTGCTGGAAGAAACTAGAGCCAACACCGAGTATATTCGAAACAAAGGCTACCGTGTCGTGGAGATGTGGGAATGTGAATGGCGCCGGATGAAGAAAACGAATCCTGAACTGCAGCGGTTTATCGCTACAGAAGTGAGAAGAACCCTCGACAAAGTTAAGATCATGAGTACGGAGCGAATTTTGAGCGAGGTGCGAAATGAGCGTTTGTTTTGGGTACCATTTCAGAAGAGGTGTAGCGAGCAGAATCTTATCTCCTTTCATGCTCCCGATCAAGCTGCGACGGGGCTGAGCCATGATGCCGTGCTCCTCAGCGTACGCTTTCATGAACTCTCCAATATCCTCTCGACTGATGTTGGTGTTTTTAAAGATCGGGCACATCTCGCTGAACTTCTCTTTCAAATGCTCTGGTACGCGAATATCCACTTCCACGCACTTGGAACATGCTTTAGAGGTCACGAAAGTACACCACGTGATCGAGTTCACCCCTGAGCCCTGCTTCAAATCCTTTGGCGATGCTGTGTCTGACGCGAGACGAGCAGGCGATGCAGACCCGAACAAAGCCATCATTGCGGATACAATGAAATTGATAAGTTTTTGTTTCATTCTGGGATCATAGGGGAGGAGAACGATGTGATTGTATACAGAAAACTGATATAAACCTTGCTTTTTTAGGTGGGAAATTCATCGCATGGTAAAACAATCACCAACCAATTGAAGCATAGGAACGTGGAGTATTGCAGTGACGCTGAGGCCAGCCGAAAAGTGAACACGCCTCTCTTCCGCAAGCTGGATAATATCACAGAAGATACTTATGAAGTAGAGTCTTGTAAAAAAACCATCAAGTTAAATCTTCTAAGCCAAATCGGTTTTTTCGTGTATCAATATGCGAAGTTAAGAATGCTGCAATTTTATTATGATTTTCTTGACAAGTATCTCGATCGCAGCGATTTTCAAATGTGTGAGATGGATACAGACAGCGCGTATATCGCTATTGCTGGAGAGAGTGTGGAAAGTTTAGTCAAACCAGAATTGAAAGCAGAGTTCGAAGCCGATAAATGCAACTGGTTTCCCCGTACGGATACACCCGAGCATAAAGCCTATGATAAGCGAACCCCGGGTCTTTTTAAAGTTGAGTGGGAGGGTCAAGGAATTATCGGGTTGTGTTCAAAAACCTACTACTGTTTTGGGGCCAAAGATAAGTTTTCTTGCAAAGGAGTCGACAAGAAATGTAACGAGATTAACAAAGACAAGTATTTACAAGTGTTGCTCACAAAACAGAATAGTTCAGGTGTTAACAGAGGTTTTCGTGTTGTTAACAACACCATGTGCACTTATGAGCAAGTTAGGGATGCATTTTCGTATTTTTACCCGAAACGTAAAGTTCTCGCAGATGGAGTTAGCACTACTCCACTCGATATTTAAGTTTTCAAGTTTGTAAAAAATATATTTTGTAAATAATTTTCGTTTTCTCAAGTTTGAATATATATTACTCTCAAAATAGTTTTCCGAAATATTTATATCAGATCGCCTCTAGTTGTAAATATTTTTTTGCGTAGCTTTTTACGGATGTTTTTCCATTGAAATTCGTTTGTAAATAAATCATTGGTTGAATTTAATCGTAGCTTGTTTCCTGACTCGACGCGCACGACTAACACGCGAGATCTCCACGCGCGCTCAGGGGAAAAAACACAGGGCTAAAAAGATGCCCTTTCTGCCCTTTCTGCCCGATCTGCCCTTGAAAATCAACAATAAATTTCGTGTCGCAAATAGTTTTACTCAGTTGGTATCTAACATTCGTCCTGTCACTATGAAGAAACTAAAATGTAAACACTGCCCCATACCGGGATGTCATTCTAAATTCTTAGTTCGATTAGCAAATCATTTAACTCAAGTCCACGAGTTATCGGACATAGAACGAAAATATTGGCTTCAATTTGTAAAATTACAAAATACCAATGCGATTCGTGTGTATGACAAGGATGCTGAACCCAAAACAATTTTTTTTCTTTCTATAAATGAGAGTACGCACAAATCAGTTAATCAGTTGTGATCATGGACCCGAGATGGAAACATCCTTTCCCCGCGCTTGTGGCCGGCCCAACATGTTGTGGGAAAAGTCAGTTTGTAAAATGTTTACTAGAAGCAGGAGAAGACATGATTAGTGGTGCCCCGGAAAATATCATCTGGTGTTATGGCATGTATCAACCAGCCTACGATGAGATGCTTAAAACTATTCCGAACATTATGTTTGTTGAAGGAGTGCCTGGTGATCTGGAAACCCTAATTAATCCCTCTATGCGGAATTTAGTCGTCATTGATGACTTAATGCACGAGCTTAGCAATGATCAGCGAATGACTAATTTGTTTACCAAGGGCTGTCACCATCGCAATCTCAGCGTGATCTTTATTCTCCAAAACATTTTTCATCGTGGAAAAGAACTGAGAGATATGAGTTTGAATTCTCATTACTTAGTGGTGTTCAAAAGCCTGCGTGATAGCAGTCAAGTCAATCATTTAGCAAGACAAATGTTTCCCGGTCATGTTAAATACATGCAAGAAGCGTTTGAGGATGCAACAAAAAGGCCCTATGGATATCTATTTTGTGATCTTCAACCGGAAACACCTACCGACTTCCGGCTGCGTACGAATATTTTCCCCCGGGAGACTCAGTACGCTTACGTCAGAAAAGTATAAAAAGCGTGAACCACATCAAATTTCATCAGTTGAGGATGGCACAGCGACTTAGAAAGAACCACGATTTTCTGAAACTGCTTGTCAAGTGTACACCAGCTCAGCGTAAAGCCATTTTGAAGGTGGCAGACGACGCTTTAGTAAGAACCATTTGTGAGTGTGTTTTAAACGTGCTTAAAGGAACAGTGCCTGTCAGTAAGCCAGCCAAGAAAAAACTTTTACCTCACAAGAAATCTTTGATCGCTTTAGCCGAAAAAAGTACACCACTCGATAAGAAAAAGAAATTGTTGGTACAACACGTAATTAAGTGTTCTGCTACCTCCCGTTCTCCGTGTGTTAAGTTCGATTCTTACCTAAAATGAATCACACAAAGCGTATGGTTCTCGTGCCCGAGAACACCTTGGAAAGATTACAGCAACGCCAGCAGATTTTAACCCCACCCGTCACATAAACTCTGAGAAACTTGGATAGTGAAATGACCGATATATTATCCAGTAAAGAACTTGATGATGAACAAAAAGCTATGCTTTATAATCAAGTGTTGCAGCGGTACTTGACTTATTACGATCAGAGAAAAGGTCAACCTCTTCATGTGAAAATATCAACCCCCAAAGCAGTAGAAACACCTAAACCCGAAGAGAATAAGCAACCTAAGGAAGAACCTACGCCGGAAAAATTCATTTCATCAGCCGTAGAGCAAGAGGTCATGAAAAGTGTACCCAAAATTTACAAAGCCGGGGCCAGACAATTGTTGGATAAAATTAAAGAGCATCAACATGTCTTGCATTGGAATGATAAAGGAGAGCTTTTGTATGAAACCAAACCCATTCCAGGTTCTCATCTGGTGGACCTAGTCAACGACGCATTGCGCCACCGCAAAGGATTTGAACCAGTGGGATGGTCGGTGTTTGCGAGGGGTCTGGCGCGAATGAATGTCCCGGAAAATCTAGTGCGTAATCCACAGAGGCAAAGTGCTATTCGAGAATTTAAAGCAAGGGTGAGAGAAGAAACCCCTAACAGTCCTTCCCGTTGGCTACCTAGCCCACCTGTGACAAGTTCCCCCTTGAAAAAACAGCGGCGAAGAAATGCGAGTCCGCGCCCTGAGGCTGTGCGCTGGTTACGGTTATAAAATCACCACAAGAGACATTATTATATTGTATTGTATTGTAAATCATCTCTTTATTTTGTTCACTCAATAAAAGATATTGAAAAGAAATTACAAGGTGTTTATTTATTGAACTTTGTGCTGGGCTTGTGCTCTTTGCTTGTTTACATCAGTGAGATATTTCGGAAGACTTATAGGGAAATGTTTTTCAATAAATCGCTTGACAAGACTATCATTTTTACGTGTGTTATTAGAAAAACGATGCACAATTGTACTCATACTTATTTGCCGACTACGATATAAAGCAAAGTACAAACAGTAACGTCCGCAGACTTTGGAATAGATGCTCTGTAATGTCACAGTATTAAAAATCCACTGGTTAGAATTGTTGTTTAAAAAGGTGCTCCGTAAGAATCGAAAGATTCTCCCTCTTGCTCCTTGGTGAAATAAAACGCCACCCAATGCGAACCTGGCTTGTCACTCGTATCCCCATTGGCGATGTATAGGGCTGGGTATTGCGAAACACTCGCAGGCAACTTGTCTGGGGGATACACGCCTTGAAACACACCTCCTGTAAATTTATCCTTTCTCAAAATAAGGGTCAGTTGAATGGTGTCCATTTCTAGTTTGTGTAGTCGTAGAGAACGTTTCGGTTTGCGTCGGCCTCAATCACGTTTTGAAATTCAGCGTAGACGATAAGGTTGACCGTGTTGGCGAGTGCTTCCGAGAAATGAAGCTCCAAGCGCAGGTTTCCTTGTTTTATGAGCTCAACATGATCTCCCAGGCAGTGATCCGGGGTCAAATCAAATGCGAATAAGGTGTAACCAGAACCGTAATCACTTCTATTTATCTGATTGCCCATATCTTGGGAAAGCCTTCCAATACCAGAGAAAAGACTTTGATAGCCGGCTATCACATTTTGACCACTAGCGGCGTCAAAATTCAGGAACAAAGGTTTTCGGGGAATTTGTTCCCCGTCCACGTACACACCCACTTGAGTTAAGTTGTGGTGTTTGAAGTAGAAGGGGTTGGTACGATAACTCCCATTGTAAGCCTCTGTGTCCACTAATCCCAATACTATGCGCTTGGGAATTTGACCCAAAAAGATGTTGTCAGGGTTAAAACTGCTAAATCCTCTTGGAATAGAGAGCACTTTACAGTCGATTCTGCGAATGGGGTACTTGGCGCTGGAGTGTTTTAGCCCAGCTGCATGGCCTAGAATGATAGAAGAAGCAACCTTGACTCTGCGTACAAACAAGATGGCTTCTGTGATAACCACTTTGAAATTAGCTCCGGCTGCTGAGGACACAAGACAAAACACATTCTTGGCTCGGTTCAGTTTGATTCTTAAATTAACTCCATTGAGCATCAACCGGTCTTGAAAGAATATATCACTGTGAATGGGTCCCATCATATCCACCGTATGACTCTCTGGTAAACTTATAGCGAGCCTTTAATCCAAGGTTTGCTTCATCGTCTGCAGCCAAGGGGTTCACTACCTTCATCTTTCCAGCAGTATCTTTGTAAAACATGGCCATAGAAAGTTGACTTGTTTTAGCTTCTTCTCCGTAGTTCAGCGAAGACTCGATTATGGCACGATAAGGGTAAGTATTAGTGGATGCAGATATAAGACGCTCATTCAAGGAAACGTCTATTTGTGAAAACAGAGAATGTAAAAACAGGTTTACGGGACCCACTTGTCTATCGGCATCTAACGCGGTTCCGTTTTTGCTTTCGTGATCTTAGCTTTCACATAAAGTTGTGTTCGCGCTGAATCTAAATATTCTTCTCCGGTTCCAGATACGTTAATTTCAATCGGACCAGTGTCCGTGATGTTGCTGAGAGGGTGATATTCAATCCATTGCCCTTTGTGAATAGAGGTTTGTGTAGCAGGAATAGTAAAAAGATCGAGCTCTGATTTAGTACACTCGCGTGACTCGTGAGGAACGAAGGCCATTCTATTCTTTGTCAAAAAATTCAGTCAAGTTCCCTTTTTTAGGTTTCTTCGCTGGCGGAGATGTCTTTGCTTTCTTGCCGGGAGGCGAACTGATTTTCGAGCCTTGCGCTTTCCTTTTTATAGCTTTTTTGCCCGCTCCAGATTGTCTCTGCAATGAATTCTGGGCATGATTGCCTTTTTAATGTTATCTCCATCAAGAACATCTTGGGCGACATTGACACCCGTTTGTAAAGCTTTTCTTCCAATCACCTTAGCACCTTGTTGCAGGTGAGGCATCGCCCAGGGGAACAGACCTTTAAATATCGAACCTAAGCCATACCCTTGCTGAAATCGAGCTCCATGAAATGCGGGTAAATTCCCACCTTTTTGTTTGGCTTGATCTACATAGTACTGTTCGTAAAGCTTATGATTTGGGGCGTGGAGTTTTTTCATTTTTTATAAGTACTGAGGTTGACTCTGACGAAAATGAAGTGTTAACAACACTCTTCCAAACTCAAATGGCACAGATTCCCCTGTGTCTCGCTTTATATTGACTTCGATGGTTTCAAATTGCTTTCTGCTGACAGGTACATATTGAGGGCGCAAAAACGATTTACTAACTCGCTGGCCATCCTCTCCTTCTACGGGAACAATTCGAAGCAAAGGGACCTGTGCATCGCCAACATATTGTGACTGAATAAGATCACAGTAAACGAAAAGATAGTGAAAGCCGTATTCCAAATCCACTTGTCTGTCCCCCTTGGTGGTCTTTGAAATAATTTGTTCGGGGGTGAACCCCAGCATATAGGCCATATCATTTAGCGAGACTTCTGCGTTGTTTTTCAAATGAACTGTAACCTTTCTGCTGAGATTATCGTATGAAAACCGTACATCATCTGTATACCGATTTTCATTGTCCACTAACTCTTTCATCTTTTGAAGGACATCCTCGACGGAAGAATAATGACCCGGAAGCATCTTCAGGGAATCCCAAACACCGTGGAGTTTTTCATTTCGAACGTAAAATCGAAACTGTTGAATATTATTCCAACTAGGCGGATAATGGATCTCAGTCAAAGCCACTTCCCATTCGCCTGTGAGGTTTAGGGTTTGTGGTAAACTAACTCGGTACTCTGTTAATGTGTTATGAGGAAATTTATCAAGACTGCTATTGCTAGGGAGATGCAGATAAAACTGTGTTACCTCCATCGTACCCTGTGTTGAAATGAACTTTTTAATCTGGGTATTCTTAATTTATTAGAAACCACACACCATTCATTTTATTATTTCCTTTTCTTTTATTCACTACACAAAAAAGCATAAATTACAACTTCAAAATGTCACTTTCTTGAACCCAGGAATCAAATTTTGGGTCTTCGTATCCTTTCCATTTCACAAGATACTCTACTACCCCTTTACGCTTTCTCTTCCGCAAAATCTTTTCGACCCGGTACACATCATCGCTCTTAACAATTTTCTGCAATTCAGGCTCATAAAATGTTCCATCTAAGATTTCTTCTGCATCATCTTTTAGTTTATAAACGGGTACTTGACGAGCCATTTGCTTGTAAACAGTAAAAATTTCTTCCGTAAAATTAGGTAAGTAAGATTTTTCAAACGTTCTCTTTACTTTGCTAATCCTGACGCGATCTCCCACTTGAAATTTAAATCGTACGGGCTTTTGAACATTATCCCCATACAAAGTATCCCATACTTGAGCTTCATTCGCTTTAGTCACCTGGCTCGGTTTCATTTTAATACTTCGGTGGTAGGTGTTATTGTAAGAAGATACTAACTGGGGTAATACATTGATATAGGTGAGAGTGTTTTTGGCCGTGAAATATTTATACATCTTATTCTTAAATGTTAGGTTAAAACGGTCAACCACTGAGGCTTTGAGCCCAGAGTTAACAGTAAAATAGTCAATGTTGTTGTCACGCAGCAATTTCTGGAACACACGATTCAGGAACTCTGTTCCCTGATCCGTCTGCAGTTTGGTAGGTTTTCGACCAGTAGAAAAGATCTTTTGAAAGGCTTTGACCAGTTCTTGACCTTGTTTTGTCTTCAAAGGTAACACCCAGGCATACTTGCTGAAGATATCTATACAAGTCAGTAAGTATTTATAGCCCTTGTTGTAGCGACCGAGATTTTGAAGATGGGCCAAATCCGCTTGAAACTGGGCATCTATTCCAGGAACGATGACTCGGCTTCTCTTGTAGCGTCTTCGTGCGGGTTTGTGAAGAGTATAAACATCTTGCTGACTCAACCATTCTCGGACTTGTTTACGCGATATCTTGTTCTTTCCTTTCTCTTTAACTGCTCTGTAAACAGCATATAAACCACCGAAACTTGCGGGTTGACTTGGGTCGAGATAAATGCTGGTCAGTGTTTTCTCCATCACAGAACTCGGAATCTTGTACGACCACTCTACCATCACAGCAGGCTAATACGCAACAAATGCGGCTAAAGATGTGTTCAAATCCAAAAGTGGACGAAGGAGGACAGCAACCCAGCGCTGATGATCGCTATGAAGGTTCAAACCCTAATGATTTATTTCCTCTTGATGTTTACTTATATAGCTACTCTCGAATCTGGGTGAGAGTGGGCACGAGAAAATTAAATAATAGTTCCATTCCTCCTCGGTTAATTCTAGCTGATCCGCGAAGTTCAAAAATACCACCAATCGTCCCCAGTTTACTTTTGAAAAGACCTCAGAGTGGAGTTTTTGCAACTTTTCTAGACTCGAACCCGGCAGATCTTTAACTTTTTGTTGAAGCATTTCCATTTCACTTGGAGACACTTTCAATGTTTTGGCTTGTGCGCGATACAGAAAAAAGTCGACTCGAAGCAAAGACAGAGAAAGCCTCATCTTGACTAAGACAGAAACAAACACACAATTTAGAAACAATTTAGAAACAAAGCTTATTTTGAATGTCATTAATTATTAAGTCAAGGTCCATTGGTTGTTCATCTTTCCTCACAACTCTCTCAGGGCATTGCACTTCAACTTGGCTGTCAATTTCCACAGTACTGGGATCTTTGCACTTCAGTCCACAAGGTCCGTCGTAAATAGCATACAGGATTCCATCCTCTAGCTCACCATAATCTTCGAGTTCCAAGGAAGTGAGGTAGATGCTAGTCCAAGGCAGCTTTGGTGATTCGGTCACGTACGCTTCCCACGTTTTGCCAAGTTTGAAACCAAGAGCACTGCACACACTTTCAGCCGTTTTTAAGACTACATTGAGGTCAATTTGTTCCACCACTTCATCGTAATACATCCATGCGTCATCATTATCCATCATCAGGCAAAAATGTTGGTTTTGACTTGCGTGTTGAATAGCACAACCGTGGCAGCGATTCAGCTTTTCTTCTTGAATGAGTTTGTCAACCTAGCCGCATAAGTCAGTTGGAACACATGGCCGATAAGGCTAGCTACCCGTTGACGTTGGACTTTTTCCACTTCATCTACTGTCAGAAGCGGTGTAGCGCTCGATTCGACTTGCTTGTTTGGAGTAATGTTTTAAAGAATATTGGTGAAATTCTTTTTCCTTAGCAGAGCGATTGCAAAAATGAAATACTGAAGGGAAAGCGCGCTTTTATTTGGAAGATAGAATGGATTGTTTACTATCCAATCAGGGTTAAAAGAGCCCGGGCAAGTCTAGGCAAGCCTATTGTTCCTATTGTAGTAGAGTGACGCTCATTAGTAAACCTATCCACTTCATTATATATGGAGGAAGGCACTTAATTAGTATGCAGGAAATCCAAATTAGTATGCGGGAAGGCAGTGATTAGGCACTTAATTAGTATGGAGGAAGGCACTGACTAGGCACTTAATTAATATGAAGGAACGCATTTTTTCCCTAGGTTATAACAATGGGTGACGTCATTGACTAGACCCATATGCCTATTAATCAAGGGAATCCACTTTTTGCGAGGGAATCCAAAGGGAATCCACCAAAGGGGGTTAAATTTGCTGAAGCATTACTACTAGAGCGTCAGAACCATACATGTAAGTTAGATGTTCACATGTTCCTGTCGCGGTCTGGTCACCAGGGCCCAGTTGTTCGAAGGCTGATTAGTGCTGATCCAGGGTTATTATTATTATTTTTTTTTTACCTGGGTGTCTTTTTCGTTTGTTCAAAAGCGTTTTCCTCCAGACATCATATTTTAGGAAAAAAGAATAAAACTGAATTTGCTTCTCAAGCTTTCAAATCTGAAATCAAATTTCGCACCCAGCTTTGAACAACCCGGCCCAGTACTCCACAGAGGCACGCTAACTTTAAGACTGCATATTATGTCAATGTATAAAATGTTCACTTTTCGCAAATGTAGTCCAGTGTTAGGGAACACTTTTCGTCGTTCCATTCTGCGTTGTAATTCGCACCATAGTAGTTTCCCTTTAGTATTGCTCCGCAATGCTGGTCACCCTCATGATTATTCGGTTGGCCACTTCGCCACTTTTCGTAACCAGTTATTTCGGTTCCATCAGTCCATCTCCAGTCACCTTCATTACCAAGGTCAGAAAGTCCAATCCAGTATCGACCTCCTCCTCCACTTAAAAATTCTGTTTTTATAAACTTATTTTCGTCTTCAGATTCAATCTTCACTAACTCACCACCAAAATTTTGGCAGTTCAGTCTCGCATAGGTCCAGCCCTGTGAAGAATGTATTTTATAACACGACGAACCAAAACCTGTCCACTGCGCTTCACAGGATGCTGAAACAACTTTAATATTAGAAAAGAAAAACAAAGTTAACAGAATGTAAATGACCAAAGAGGTATCGTTTGGTAGCGCGCGGGGGGGGGGGTGAGTCATTGATCACAATATATTTGATTTGTGAGGAAAGGCTGGTAAGGTATTAACGGTGAGGTATTAAAGGTATTATCACTCTCTTTTGTAAGACTAAAACTTGCTAACATAAAGTCCGAAAAGTCCGATACTATCTCATCTGAAACAGCATGGAATACGAGCTATTTTCACTTGCAACCCAACACCAAGGATGTTGGTACCTACTTTAACAAGACTGAGTAGTGTAAAAGATTCCTTGCAAATGCGGAAAAGTGTACATTGGGGAAACGGAATGATGTATGAGTGAACGGATTAGGGAGCGTGGCAGGGATACACGGCTTTCACGAACTCAGACCTCAGGCTTGTTTCTGATCACGCCAGCAAGAAGGGGCATTATCCGATTTGGGAGAAGGTTAAGTTAAAATCCAGGGTGCTTCCAAACCTCCCGGGTGGAAATCTTTTGCATAAAATTGAAAACATAAAATCAGAAATTTTGCATTATTTTTTTGCAAAATCATCCCAAATCATGCAAGATTGGAGTTTCAATAGTTTTGCAGATAGTAATTATGTTAATGAAACAAATGGATTGGTTTGTAGCTCAGTCTGGCGCGTTAATTCTTCAGTGGCCTGGACCTTCTGAAAACGGGCCCTAGAATATGATGCATGCTAATGATGTATTTGTCGTTCTTGACCTCATGGCATTTATGACGTCACGTCTTGTAACCTTAGCAACTGACTGTCGTCACTCTGTTCTTTAAAAAACTTCGTGCAAAAGAAAATTGTTAAAAAGCCACAATTGGTAGCTTCTAATACTGAAACCTCCGAACGCACGCTCGATAAGACGCTTTCAGCTGTTACTGAGTTGTAATTTTTGGTGAAATATACTGAACTGTAGCATCATTCACTGCTTTAGCTTAAGCTGCAAAGTCTGACTCGTTTACGGGGTGGATATAATTCAGTGGTTTGACTAGAGAGAAAACAAGACGGGTTCTTATTACCTTCGCTTTCATACACTTCCACTCTGAGGCAGTTCCATCTATTCTGAGTTACTGGATGAAACCTGATGAATTTTGCAGATGTAGTTGTAGGTAACTCATGTTTTTCTACTGTGTTGCCATCACCAATCCTTTGAAAGACCTAGGTACATAGAAATATGCATTTATTAATGTATAGAAAATGTGATTGAAACGTGACTATACGTTCTTCACCACTGTTGGCAAACTTAAAAACGAATAAAAGCTTGAAAAAAAAAACAGAGCAATAATTTAAGGTGAAAAAGAGAAAAATGCAAGAGGAATATTTGCTCAATCGACTTTTTTTTTTAACTGAAGCCTTGCCTCCGCCTTTTTTTCAGAAACCATGCAGAATAGAAGTTCAGTTAAGTTGACGAATGGTTGAACTACTAAAATGTTGCCCGGCTACAACTTCTAGAAAATTGCCACTTAGTCCGCAGCGTTAGGCTCTATATACATATGACTTGAGTCAATACACTTTTAAAATTTGAAAGTTTATTGAAATCCAACTTTACTTCTTTTCATTAAAGCACTAGTCTACATGTATAGTCATGTAACATGGCAACGAATGGATACTCACCTTTTCCGTATTATCAATATTTCTATAAAAAGTCCAGCCACCCCCATCAGTTGAAAAGGACAACTTGAACTCGATGACCCAGCTGTCGTTTTGGTTATCTCCTTGAGTAGCTACTCCACATATTTGACGAGTAGTTCCAAGGTCTATTTGAAGCCAGTCTTGGTTTCCACAGCAGCTTTGTGTGCACCATCCAAAACCAAAATATTCATTGTTGAGCCGACCTCTTTCAGGTTTATATAAAGAACCAAGATCAGTAGAAGCTGTCATCTTGTTGTCATATATCATATTGTTATCAGCAACTCCAACAGGGTTATTGAAACAAGCATTACCTGTTCAAAGGGCAGACAATGCTACTTTTTTATGAGTTTGCAACACACAACCATAATACGTTATGATAGTAATCAACCTTCCCTACGTCTGCGATGCAGATATTACAGTACGTGTTCTCCACACATGGTAACTTAAGGTGACTCGACCCAGTTATTTTGTGAGGGTACCATCCTACTTAGAAGCTCTCTGGTATCTCCACCTTTACTTTGATCGTAAGTTTAACATATAGTGTGGATAACATATAGATCAATCTTCAAAATAGGATAAAAGTTTTGGCAATCGGAGTAAATGTCACGTGGTTTGGGCGGTGCCTCTTTGGAGTCTGAGTCGAAATTCTGCTGTTGCCGGCATTCTTTCGTAAAAATCTCTCGGCTACACATAGTGCCATTAGTGCCTTGCATTGAACAGAGTTTGACCAAAATCGCAAAGACCCAATGCGAGAAATTCAGCGGTTTCCAAATTTAGGTCATAATGTATGTGAAAATGATAAGCAAACTTTTCACGATTTTATCTAATAAACTATGAGATTTATCCCTTTATTTTGGGGATCTTTATAATAGATGGGTCCTTCCAAGTCAGCAAAAATCTTTAGGGTCTTGTAAATGCGCGCGATTTCGAGAAATTTAACTGATATAGAAATTATAATTTAGCTATTTGTTGACTTTTGTCAGCGTTGAAGAATCCTTCTCACGAAAAAAGCATCTTCTTAAAAATTCGTAGTTTTTTTTTATCCTTCAACTTTTTTTCAGGGCCACAATTGATTGACTAACTACCCGGATTCTGTATTTCATGGTCATTGAAAAACTGTGACATTATCTTCTATAAGCCCGAACAAGGTTTTTAGCGTTTTGGCTGAGTTTGTGCTTTGGGAGTTTTCTATTGTTTCTAGTCTGCCATGATTAAGCATTCTTGTTCAGCACGCGTGCAATAAACGCTCTTGGCTGACTTCGGAATGCTCACCGAGATATGATAATTTAGTATGAGAAAATAGAAGGGATTCCTTGCATTAAACCTATGTAAAAATGATATTTTTTTTAATAGTAAGTAGATTTAGTGTGTAGCATTTCTTGATTTTTTTGCAAAGGCACAAAAAGCACCAGAATTGATTAAAAATCGTGAGTTAAACCTCTTTGTATCACGCGATCGCCTGTCTCACGTACCAAAATTATCATTTATAACATATCGCGCGTGCTTGCCCTATATCATGTCCTATTGAGCCGCTATGAATGAAATCTTTATTTACGCACCCCCGTGCGTAAATAAAGATTTTTCATGTTGACGTCTTCAGCCGTGTTTTCGTCTCTTTTCCTATAAATAAGTACTAAGTACCCAAAAATCGACGGCAATAATGAAAAACATTCTAGAATTTTGGAATGAGCTTCTGGCCTCTAAAACCAACGTGAAGATGTTTCCCAAATAATAGCGCCTGAATTGTTGAAAACTCTGCCGTAAAGACTGACAAAAAGACCACAAATCGGTCTGTGTCCAATATCCAATTTGTGTAAAGTGTAACGTTAAGTAACGTTTTTAACGTTTGTTTATCCTTTACAAAACAAGATAATTATAGAGTAAGCGAAAAATTATGCACTTTTGTTATCGCCGAACAATCCAACTGAAGCAGGAAAATTTCTCTTGCAATAACAAGACAAATTGAACAAGAAATGAGACATGAATTTACCTCTCACAAAAACAACTGCTGCCAGGTCTTCTCAAGAAGCCGTAATGACCAGCCATTGTTCGTAAATGAATATAAAGTAGGATGACAGTCGTCTTCGCTAAAAAAAGAAAGATATCTGGATTTCGCCGAGCAAAACACAAACCTCTTTTCAGTGAGTCCAAACCATACTCTACGACTTAATACGAACATGTGAGTATTTTAACTTTAGGAGGACTTATAAGACTCTTTTGCCTTTAGTTCTGCCTAGTTTCCATTGATCGTTAACAAACAAGTAAGCAAATTTTCTTTCTCAGTTTTACAGAGATAATTTTCTCTCAAGGTCGATGATTGTGGCGGGTTTGTAAACAGCCAATAGAAGCGTTTGTTTTTCTGTGTCGCACGTTACGAGAATTTGGCAGTTAATCAAAAAGCAAGCATTTTTGTCAGCTATGTTATGTAAGAATTTGCTCATGCTTTTAGCTGTGCGTATATCGAGTTATGGATGCACTTGGGAAGTTTGGAGAGCACTCAAGAAGCCAGAGTTGCTCTCGGCTGCGCCTCGAGCAACTCTTACGCATCTTTCGTGCTCTCCAAAGTTCCCGCGTGCATCCATAACTCGATATACGCACGCCAAGACTGCTAAGTATGAAAAAATTCTTAAATTTCGATGAGCATTCGGAGGTCAGCCACGCCCAGTCATTGCGCGCGTGCTGGACAAGAATGCTGTATCAGGACAGACTACGAAAAGATGTCGGCAACAGAAGAATTTCGACTCAGAGTCCAAAGAGACGTGGTCCTACAACCACGTGACATTTACTCCGATCGCCAAAACTTTGATGCTCTATTGTAGATTGATCTATATGTTATCCATGCTATATGTTAGACTTAAGATCAAAGAAAAGGTGGGGATGCCAGAGAGCGTCAAAGTAGGATGGTGCCCCCACAAAATAACTGGGTCGAGTCACGTTACGCTACAACGACGACGACGGCAGTGAAAACATCACTGAAAAATGAAAATGTGCTGTCTCTCAAACTTTATCGCGTCTATTTCGAACCGCTCAATTCGTCAGATGTAGCCGATCCTTTTTGGTGTTGAATTCTTACGAGCTTTATCCATGTTCAAATAGAGAAAGGAAAATCTGTCGTCGTATGTCCACGTCCTCGACAAAACGTCGCATTGGGAGGTTTCACCTCGTAGTCGTGCAATGAACATCAAAGAAATGTAAAAAAAAACGTAATCACATGCAGAGCTGTTGTTTTGTTCATAAAACCAATAGACCTCTTTAGCTTCTATGTTTTGTTTTCCCAATACAGGTCAACTGATAGTACTCTATAGCTAGAGAACGGTTTCTTTCAAATTGCGTTTTATTCACGTGCATATGTACGCATGAATTATGAAAAGACAAAGGGTCAAGTTCCCTTGGACCTCTATTGGCAAAAAAAACATACAAGCTAAAGAGGTTTATTGTTTTTTGAAGTTGTCGTTGTGTTCGTCGTCGTATTTTTTAAATAAGCTCCCTAATCATACAACAAGCGCGGACGTATTATGCATACTATGCTTTTATTAACACACCTGAGGTTGAGGACTGTATTGGGACAATTGTTGAGGAAGTCAGTGATGCCGCTGATGGGTTAAGGAGAGTTGTCACAGTTGGCAATGGCACTACTGTATAAGGAAAAATTGAAGGGTTAAATTTTGCCCTTACATCATGAGCGAAGATAGGCAAACAAAGAGGAATGTCAAAACCTACTTATAATAATAAATATATTATACAGGATAACCCCGTCAGTGTAATAATTAACAATTATTCCACGAGAGCGCGTTGAATATGAGATAGTGGATAGCCAACGAGGCGCGTAGCGCCGAGTTGGCTATAATCATCTCATATCCAACAAGCGCGAGTGGAATAATTGTTTTATTAGAAACGCCCACGAAATCTCGTTGAATCTCCCCGACTTAATTTTGTGACAAAACACACCGGAAAAGACAAGGGACTTCCGCTCTTCACATGTCACACGTCTATCAAAACTGTCAACGCGCAGACTGGATGAATGAAAAATCAAAACATTGTAGCGATGAACACTTTCAGGTACTTTCAAAAACTCATCGGGATTCGACTAGGATTTTACACCACAGGACAGCTAAAAAAAACCTGGCAGATGATGTGAAGGAAAAGAATTTTTCAGTGACAGCCGTGGAAATTACTGTGAATTTGGATTTTCGAGTTGAGTATGAGTAAACTGAGTATGGCCGATATGTAAAATATATTTAATAATTATTCGCCGAAGGTGAAGTTCATACTGTTGAATAATCCCTGAGACGAGGTCGAGGGGGTTATTCAGGAATATGAACTTGGCTTGAGGTGAATAAATGTTTTAATATAATTATACACATAAATTGATCTCAATAGAATCAAAACAGTAAACATTAAAAAACGATTAGTTTGATTGACGGGTGAAATCTGTGTGAACCTGTAGCAGAAGATGCGCGAAAGTTAGATCTTTAATCTTACAGTATTTTGAAGCTTGGCATATCATAGTTTCTAAATGAGTCTTTTTGTAAGCTTTAGCATCAATGGTTTGAAGGAAAACGTCATACCCCCACCGTGGTACAAGAGAGGGAGGGTGGATGGACCCCTCCCCCCCTCCTCTAGAGTTTTTGATATGTTGCAGTGTTTCGAAAGCCTTTGATCTTCTGTACAAGATAAGGTATATTTTATGGGTGGTGGCGCTGCTGGGGACCTATGACGTCACCAACAATAGTCGCCATCTTGGATTTTACCAAGAATTAGAATCAGGTTAAAACCGCGAAAAATGGTGATTCTTTGTGCTTGACATAAAAAATAACACGTCAATAAGCACTTTGCATAGTTTTAGCCACAAGATTTACTTTTATTGTTAAAAGAAGTTGACAAAACATGTACTTTCACTGAAAAATGGCATGACCACCTCCTACTTATGACGTCATATCTCATAACCATAGAAACTGACCATTACTGTACTTGACTCAAATTGCGTTAGGGATGAACGAACAGCTACTAAAAAAAATCAGGTGCTGATGACTTATCCTCTAGGAGAAAATTCCTCTGAGGGTTAACTTCTATTTTTAGCAAAGTTGGTCTTGCAAGGAAATCCCGAGTTCACAAAACAGTGACAAGGCGGCTTCGTTTTCCGCTGTAATGGTAAACATTGCTTCGACTGTGTAAACAATCACCTACAGTAAATCACTTCAAAATAATTCACTCTGTTTAAACACCATGAAGTCTTAATGGCCAGAAATCACGCACATCGCATTCCGTGTGTCTTACATTCGAGCCGTTTGATAACGCTCTTGGCCGCT